GAGAGAGAGAGAGAGAGAGAGAGAGAGAGAGAGAGAGAGAGAGAGAGAGAGAGAGAGAGAGAGAGAGAGAGAGAGAGAGAGAGAGGAGGGGAGAGTAATGGCACTTTGGTGTATGAACAGTTTGCACAACCCAGTCGTGGGGAACAGCGACAATTTCTTTGCTTGGTCCACTCGGATCCTGAGCACTTTGTCAATTTCAACATCCTAAGAGTTGGGTATATCGACAATTTTGCGGTCCATCCCTATTCCCAAACGAGTCCCAGGCACAGCAACAATTTGAACAGCACAGTACAGTGGTATATCAGCACGTTTGCCCTCTTCCTTGCGTGGACAAAAAAGCGAAATAAAAGTGAGGTAGAACAACAGTTTTCCTAAAGAAGAAAAGTGTAAGAAAAGGCATCGACGAGAACATCATAAGACATCAAGACGAAGCATAATCCAAAACTTTAAACAACGTTTTTTTTTTTTTTTTTTTTCCCCAACTGTTGTGCAAATCATGGGACTTACAGCACTGAGCATGGTCGACGTGATGATGCTCAACTGTCTCTTACTCTCATCAATCTTCTGAGCAGCCCCTGAAAAGACACATGGACCAATAGGAAAGCAGGGATTGGGAACTGGAACCCACATACACGTTTTTTTGGGGGGGGTTGCTCAAGTCCCACCCCCCAAAAGCTTATTTTGGATTTTTTAACTATTTCCTGGCCCTTTCAGAAAGCCAAAGAGGGCCAGGCTATGACTGATTCTGATATATATCGTCAAACAGAGAACAGTTTGTCACAGCCCCTCGTTTGTCCTCTTCTCCCACTCTGCCTACAGTTTACCGAGAAGCTCTGTTTGACTATATATATATATCGTCACAAACAGAACTGCCCGGTAATATGTATATATATATATATGCAGAGAGAGAGAGAGAGAGAGAGAGAGAGAGAGAGGTACAGGCTGGATACTGCCTTGAGGTAGGTATGGCCCAATTCTCTCCCTGTCTGTAAACCTTCTGTAACCTGTTTTTTTTTTTTTTTTCCTGGATTTTTCCGGACGTCGGGTTGTGTCAGGGTGCAGGTCCGGCGTAACCATGATCCAAAGCAAGCACGCTAACTCCACTTTCAAAAAAAAAAAAAAAAAAAAAAAGCACAAAAAACTTGTCCCTTTCTTCGTTTTATTTCAAGTCCAGTCCCTTACAAAAAAAAAAAAAAAAGAAAGGTGACGGCCTTGAGATATTAATCATATTATCATGACAGGCCCTAGGTAATTCAGAATTCTGTTGAATCATTTTATTCTGTTGAACTTCATCTGAGTGCATCTGGACTCGAACTTCAGTCTGTGTTTCAACAGTTCATTGGGTGTACCAACTGAGATAGGCCCGTCGGTAATCCGGTCCCTCTCCGCCATGCCACTCCGCCTCGTTTTCGTATATATCGTCAAATAGAACTGCCCGGTAAACCCGTAGGCAGAGAGGGAGAAGAGGACAACAAACGAGGGGCTGTGACAAACTGTTTCGTCGGAGTTTCACCGACTATATATATATCGTCACAAATAGAACTGCCCGGTAAACCGTAGGCAGAGAGAGAGAAGAGGACAACAAAC